ACTAAGCAATAAACATTATTGGGCAAAGAAAGAGATGGTTAGAAGCCTAAAAAATCATATTAATCTACAAAATAAAAAATAAGAATAAACACTTATTAAGTGAAGCCTTCGAAGCGCACCTAGGTATTCCTTCTTAAGAACATTATTAATTTTTGCTAAATAAGGAGCAACCTTGTGGTCTCCGAATGCTTCACTTAAAACATGTAAATTTTTCCAGGCTTCTAACCATCACTTTCTTTACCTAGCATCATTAAGAGTCTTTCTTTACGAACCTATTTATTGTTGACACGCTAACGGAGGAACACCGTTCTAGAATTTTGAAAGCATTGTGTTAACTAAACCTTTGATTTTCTGACCTGCCACTGCTTAATGCTTCACTCTTACTTACTTGCTTGCGGCCTGCTTGTAAATTTCCAACGGGTTTGAAAATTGTTTGCCCTGAAGATGTCAATTTTTTGAATGAGGCACTGCCAGCAGAAATAGGGATTTTGACGTCGGTTTTCTACTTGTATTTATTTAACCGTCCAGAGTGGTAATCGGTCCTTTCCGGCATAAACTGAAATTAAATCGCATTTCAGTCCATCAGTGTGTAGCAGGTCGCAAGACACCGTCGTTAGTTTTGTCGCGGCGTTCAGCGTAAAGACTGTGAGGAGGCGACGAGTCGAATATAAGCGGCTATAAGACGCCGGTTCTGTCGTATGGGCATTCAACGGAACCATCGTTGGGAAGGTAAAGACCAAAGGCAGTTCGCGTAATTGGACGGAACTCGTGCTGAGTGCTCCTCTCTCCGAACCGGGGAAGAAATTCAACGGACGGTCCGAAGGAGGACGATCGAATGGCTATTTTTGAGTGCGCTGATGTATGTAGTAAAGATGGTTCTTAAGCCTGGTGTGTGGTCATCTTCATTTCAGGGCCACACGTCTACAACTAGCTGAAGGGAAGATTTCCTGACCGACCAGACCTCCGTGAAGGTCTGCCACAAATGGCGCTACGGAAAAGATCGGCACATCCAAGAGACTGTGGGCTCCGTCAACGACTGAATAAGATGATGAGGGAATGCGGGCCGCAGCGGGAGAAGAAGTCCGGTGACAACCTGCTTGATCCCAAAGACGAAGCAACCGATGTTTTCTGAAGACAGAAGCGGGACTTCGCTCGCAGAATGGCAGGTAGAAATCGAGGCAGCCATATGCGAGCAACAGACGACAATCGCTGGGAAGACAAACGCAATTTCTGCTCAGGCATGTGGGAGAACCGGCATTGAGCACGGTAGTCTTGAGAGCACCAGAGATCCCACATCCATTTTTAATCTGTCGAACCCATCATGAGTTCCCTGCAGCGGGCCCATGACTCCAAGTTGTCAGTATGGGAGATAAGGAGTAAACTGTTTAACCTATAGCAACATCTGGGTGAGATTCTCACAGGTTTCGCAGCAAGGATTCGTCAGTTGGGTCGCATAATAAGAAAATTTCCGGGTCCAGAAATGCGCCGGGCATTGGTGAGTAGGATGAATAAACGGTAAACCATTGCATTTGTTTGATCATGGGGAGGCTAATGTCTGTTTTGAGGGTTACGCAAATCCTTCAAAAGCATATCGCCATGTCATGGCTGTGGAGAGAGTGTTCGGCTCCATCCAGATCAAACAGCCACTGGCGATGCTATTTTGCTATCATAAATCCAGCGACTACAGCAAAACTTGATGCAGTCAAATCTCCTGAAATCGTTTGGGCAAAATCAACCAATCTTTCGCAACAGAGGGATGCATGCTTTGGCTGTGGAGAAGCGGATCACTTCACTGCGCAATGCCAGCAAAATCAAAGGTCTGTGTAGAAAAGATAAGGCCCAAATCTACATTTAGTACAGTGCAATGCAGGTGCACTGTCGAGGCTACCATCAGGCACTTCTGGAAGCGCAGAACCACCAGCCGAAATAAGCATTCTAACTGCAGAGATGATTGGCAGGGTTGGGACAATGGATTTCATCCTTGGGCTAGAACGGACAACTCCATTACAGTGGCAGCTAAAGGATCCAGTACTGGCAAGAGTAATAACGAAAATTAACGAGGGTAAACAACCTCCATAGTCCTACCGACGTGGTAATTACGAAATTCCAGAAGGCGTCCCTGATCTCGTTAAAAAGACTGAAAATGGCACAGTGATTTTGATTTTCCGCTACGTAGCACCTAGTAAATGGCGAAGAAAGGTACTTAAGAATATTC